TGATGGTACTATGTACACGTTTTAATTATTGTTATTTATTCGTTAACATTATAAATTATATTAATATTTAAATTTAATGTATTGTCTAAGTATGAATTACTATATCCATGTTAAATTAATCTTATCTATTAAAATTGTATATTTAAATAATATAGTAATAGGCATAGCCGAGGTCTAGACTAGGCCTAAACAAGTGACTATGTGAGTGTATAAAATTATGGAGAATATGAATAAATGCAAAATTGTGAAAAATTATGAAGGAAGAATAGGAAAGAGATTTGGAGCGGCTGAAATATTTTCTGAAAATATAAAATAGTAGTCAATATGCCATTATTGCATTACGTTTTTGAAGTGGGAGCAGGATTTCCATTGGCATCTGGCAATGCACTTTCATAGTTGCTGCAATTGTCAAACTTTATTTTCAGGTCTCTGAGTGAGGTCTCTGATTGAAGCAAGTTGATTGGCCAAGAGGTTTAAGTCAGGGGCACCGTAAAGTTCAGCTCTAATATCAGCACTGGTTCAAACGGCTCACTCGCCAATGGTTCCATTTGTGGAACAATTCTCCTCAGATAAGGACTATAAACCGTAGGCCCAGTGTACGCATTTGGCTCGTGTGCACTTTAAAGAACCAGTACATTCCTCGAGAAGAGTAGGGGATTACCCCAGTGTACTGGTCCATTAAGTCCCCTGTTGTTAATTGGATATGCCATGTAGGACAGTGATTAAGTTCACTTATTGGCATATCCTTGATGCTTGTGCCTAAAGAAATGAAATGAAAATGTAATTTCCATTAACTTAATTAAAATAAGCAATTTTATATTATGTATGTTGTATAGGAATATTATTATAAGGGTTGCAAACAAAATTTTATTTCGAACCCCAATGGGTTTAAGCTTTTGGATATCTAGGAAAATCTTTTTAAAAAAATCACCAGCTTCAAGTTTTCACTTGAATGGGTTTGCTCCAGGGACTTTTTTCTTTTCAAGTCAACCCCCACATTATTTGGTTGGTTTGCTAAAGTATATGCTGCTATTCATAGCAAGAATCAATATAATGATTTCCTGTACACAACATTCCCCAAAAATGGTATAATGTATTCTGTTTGGGTTACAGTATAGACTGGGCTAAAGTACTGTCTGAGCATTTTCTGCTAATTCTACACTAATATTAACTAAAGCTAACGTTCTCTAGACTGTCCATCCTATGGTGCAAACATAACCTTAAAGATACACTGCCAAAAAAATTCAAATAGAACCTTAACTTCTAACAAGTTTTTGCTGATTTACAGACATTTTTTGACAAAAACTATTAAAATGTTTACCTGCCAGTGAGGGTCTATGCAAAAGAATACAGGGAAGGTATTATTTAAGTCTTTCTTACTGACAGGAACTTTTTTTTTCAACGTTTAATTTTTTTTTCTAATCATATTTATAGAGGGTGATCTTCAGGGCTCCCTTAAATAAATGAAATAATGTGATGCTTTTATCAGCAAAGACTTTGTATGAGGCTTAGGAAGTGGAGTTGTTTTTAGTTGTGAGAAAAATTCCTGCTGTCACAAGAATTGAAACAAGACCCTGTGATTAGAAGGCTCTCCAGTTGTACAGACTATATCAATCTGTATCAGGATTATTCATTTTTTTCATTTAACTAGAAATCTGCCACTCCTTACAAGCACTTGGATGGTAATTAAGTCCTTCCAACTTTCGACCATTTTGCCATACCATATATTTTCGGCTATACACCATTTTCACCAAATTTGAAATGATAATTACCGATAACCTGGCAACCACCACTGGGAGACTTCCAGAACCTAGTATTTCACTCTACGTAGTTACCATGGTGGAATAATTAAATGATGAAACTAAATTTACTAATCATAATGAGCATGAATATTTTAAAACGAAAAAAGAATGAAATGTTTACATTAAAAACAAATTTAAGTCTTAAAAAGCTTTTTCAATTACAGTAATTAGCATGATCGTATGTGTTGTCTACTGATGCTATAGCAAAGGTCTAGCGGTGCAATCCACTCCATAGTGCTCTATTTATCGAAATAAGATTTTTCGACGATTTTTGTATGTCGGGCATAAAAGACAACCCCTTGGCTACACCATCAGAATTCCTACGTTTGCTGCTCTTTAATTTAAGGTCATTTAAGCATCTACCTGGCTAAAAGCGGAGCCAAATATAGGGCCAATTTTCTAATAATACTATGTTATGGGCTTTCATGTTCATCAAAATCTTATTTCCTTGCATTCAAAATTGTGTTTATTCATACTAACAGTTAGTAGCTTCATTTCAGTAATAAATTTGAGTTTTACGGATGATCCACACATAAGAACACATTTTAAAGTATAACCATTTTAAAGACGGTCTCTGAAGGGAGGGGGGTGTTTAATATCATGATAGACTTGAGAACAAAGTTGTTTTAGACCTTTAAAGGCATATAAAATAGTTTCATTCGTGAATTCTTAAGGGGAAAAAAAAAAAACTGAACTTTTCTAAACACCTACAAAAGCATTGACAGATCTGGAGGGAGGTCCTGACTCCCCTTCATTGAACAAAAAAAAAAATTCCCCCACCCCCAAAAAAGAAAAAAAATCTAGACCTACCTTTTCAGGACCTGAGCTGAAATTTTGTTGTTACAATGGGAAAATTAGAAGTCGGGAAAGCTCATTTCCCGCCATCTATGAATCAAAATCCTATGGACCAGTGGTGGTCAGGTCAGGAAGGGGGATAAATTATGATTTTTGGTTCTTAGACACTAACCAAGGTGCTAGTCAACCCTTAGGTTCTGGCCCCACTGTCAGACCCCTGTGGGAAAACTTCTGGAGTCCCCCGATCCCCACTGCTTACTGACTCCAGGGGAAAATAGGAAGGAACGATAATAATACAGTATAATATTAATTTAAACTGGTGACACTAATTCCAACAAAAATTCTAGATCATGAGGTACATTAGCATATAATTTATTTAGCATTTGTCAAAAGAGCTAATTTTTTACACTTCATGATTCTTCATGACTTCATTTAAAATTATGCCCTCCAGACAAAACATACCCTAAGCTCATTACACAACTGGTATGCCCTGACAGTTAAATTTGATTATATTCAGAAAATGCAGTGTCAAGCTTACCAAAAATGGCTTTTGAATTCTGCATACAGGGTATCGGAGCCAGAGTAATTACGCTACCAAAGAAGTGGCCACATTGTTTGCTGACTGTCTAAAGCTTATTGTAAAAGCCAGCAATCTGAACACCGAACAGAATTGCACAGCGCCGCCGATCAGATGTTGAAAAAATACTTCCGCATCACGAGCTTTCTGCATCACATGTTAATTTAGTCATTCTGCTCCATTTGGGCGTGTTAATTACAATACCAATATTTTCAAACTAATGCTGTACAATATATAAGTTTAACAATGGAACTGATACACTTTACATACCTTTTGGTTATTGGTGAGTAATGTCAAACTCTGCATATAATACAATAATTATTGTAAAATAACAAAAGCATGTATGTAGTGTAGGCCTATTCAAAAGGTTTGCTACGGTCGTCGAACGTTAGCTATAGGAAAGTAGGCTTTGAGTAGCTACAGTATTTTCAATTATGGTACACTATCAGAAAACGCAGAAAAACTCTCAACCAACCTTCCAAAATTTGGAAGGTTGGTTGGATTAAAATACTCAGCCTGTAAGCCTAATAGCTAGGTCTATTAATGATCTAAGTTATGAAGGAGTTGCAGTCAGGTGTATCTAGAGATGTGACCATGCTAGATTACAATCCGGGTTCCCCTTCTCAAGCTGGTAATTTGCCAAGTGTAAAATTACATTTGAGTAGGCCTAGTTAAAAATCACCTCAATTTTATTACCTATCATCTGGTCTAGCACCCCTCACTTAATCACCGATGACCCCTACTCCCCCCTCCACTTTCCCCTGTCTGTACTAGTAATCCTACTTTTATGATATGAAACAACAGAAATCTGTGTTTTTAAGAAAACAGTGTTATGGAAACTCATTTTTACACTTAATACATGTATTTTTCCTTTAATAATTAATAGCCAGGACGAGGAACCTCTTTTTTGCTGATAAAATAGAAGAAATTTTACCAGTAAGTATATAAAAAATGTACATATAGTATATAATATAGTAATGTCCTTTAATAGGCCTAATACAGCATTTGTAAAGAACACTTCGTATAAAATTTAATTGTTAAATATATTTTTACCTATAATTTCATATCAGTCCATGGGTAGAAAAAAATATCACCCATTCGGCATTGCAACCAGTGTATTTACTCTGAATAAGAATGATACCTCCATACCCTCTATTCAGGAGAGTAGGGATTGTCTCATTTAATTTGTATTTATTTATTCGATCAACATATGTACAATCAAGGGTCCCAAGTCTTCTGGAACTCACTAGAGTCTCCTGGAAATCAGGACGGCCTCCCGCACTCCAGCAACAAGCAAGAACCTCCTGGAAATCACCCATAACCCACCAATTCATAGTGTTTGCAAGTTTTCTCACTGCTTCATCAATTGTTCTATGAATGCGAGGGCTGATGGGTGTCTAATGTGCAGCAAAAAACATTTAATGTTATGAAAGCTCAGTAACCTGATCGGAAGTTGCACCCCTACTTTTATCAAAATTATAAATTTATACGATTTCCTTTTCTTTTTTTGTTTTGAAGTCTGTGAGTGCCATTTCTGGCCATCTACAGGTGCCATAATCATATATTCTCTTACCTCAGCCCCAACCATGGCGGGGTTGATGTAGTATAGATATTACATCTGTAAAAGCTACTCCCTTGTCTCCCCCCAGCCACCTTTCGATCCACCACTGCAGATTTCCCGGATTTGAATTCTTCCAACTTGGGACTCCTGGAACAATTACAATTAGATAAAATTAAAACTTGCAATACTTGCTTGTTGTTTATTTAGTTTCCCGTTGAAGTAGATGATGGTGGCGATGCAGAACTAGCAATTGGCGCTGGTGGTGGCAATGTAGCTGGTTTCTTTGGGGCTGGTGGTGGAGCTGGTGGATTTGGAGGAAGGAGAAATGGAAATGGAGGAAGGAGGAATGACAATGAAAGACCCTACCAGTACATAATAATGTATTTGATACTGTTATATCTGTGCCTAATTTTGATCTATATTTGGTAAATATTATCCCTTATATATTTAAGATGTACAGCATAATTAACTATTATTATTATTATTATTATTATTTTTCGTCAGTTTCACAATGTGTCAGACAAAATTTTCAATGCACAACAAAAATCTAAAAGCACAGTGGTTATGGGAAGAGTATTAAATACTTGTACTTCAAAGCAAGGGTCCCAAGTCCCCGGGCCAAGTTGCATAAGTCTCCTGGAACCAAAACGGTCTCCCTCACTTATGCAAGCAAGCAATAATCTTATGGAAAAAAACTGCAAATTTATAATATTTGCATGTTTTTATAACGTTACTATAAATAATTTTCTTACAGAATTCAGTGCCAATGGATATTCCGTGCACAGCAAAATAAAATTATGTGTGTTAAAAAAGTTCATTTAAACAGATCTCCTGGAAGTGACTTCTTCCAACTGTATAGCAATGTTTAATATCAATCCATTCCAGAACTAGAGCTTGAAACCTTTGTTAAGCTTGTGTCTTGCTGTCTTGTGATTGCATTTTACTTTACCTTGCTTGGGCAAGACTGTTTTTACACCTTGTTTAGCATACCCGCCTCCACAAAAAAAAATGGAAATTTCAGAAAAAAATAAGTTTTTATTTTCATTACGCCTGCCGCTGTCTTGCAATCTCCAAAAATAAGATATGTATATGTAAGGCATTTAACCATTCTATTACTACACTGTTTACATTCACCAATACAATGTTATTTTTAGTTTCTTCTCTATCTGGATGTTTTGGCAAAACTATTTGCTATTAAGTGAAAAACCAAAATTTCATTTTTATTTTTTTCTCCCCTCCTCTGACGATTTAAAAAAAAAAAAGTTCGCAAAAAAGAAGTCTCACCATAACAATAACAGATACCTCAATATTTTCTTTTTTACACTTGTGATGTTTTCAGGTGTTACTTGTGGGTGCTGTTCCTGGTCCATGCAGGCATCATTCCAGACAATCAGCTACTGGAAGTGATGGCGACAAATCATGACCAAGCCTGGTTTATGTTGACAATACTAATGTTCATTTTACCATTTTACTGGGTAAGTTTGTAGAATCTTGTCATCAGGCAAACTAATTTTTATTAATAATTACTAGCCCATCATCAGGTATATAGAGCGTTAGAAGCAAGAGGGACAAGATTAAAAATGAAGCATTGATTTATACTGTACTACATTCAGTGGGGTTTGGATTATGCTTTGCCGCCAAAATAGGTATTTCTTTCCTATATAGGAAATGCCAATACTTCAAGATGTCAAGATGTACTGAATGCTAAAATGGTTATTTTCTCAAATTGTTTTTCTCAAAGCCAGTATTTTATGCAGTCTGAATCTGAATCAATACTGGCAGAGGACCCCACTAGTGTATATACGCCAGTGTGCGTCATCGATTTTGCAGTGAAGTTGTCTAGCTCGTAACCTCTAAAATACCATAGCTGCAATCATGGCCACCCATACCGGGGATTCTAGTTGACACCATACCCCAGATGGGTACATATTTGTACACCATGCACCCCTCCCAATGGAAATCCTTAATATGACCATATTATACAGGATTGCCAATTTACAGTTATGTTGCATAAAACTACTGTCAACAATGTCAGTTTGTCTTTCTTGATATTTATCACCTATTACTATAGTACATATCCATTTGCATTCTATGTTCTTTTAATGATCCTGTAATAAATAATTCACGTCTCATAGGCTACAATGAATATATAAATTATCTATGGTGGATTTATTTATTCATTTAAATTGTTGCATTAATCATTTAAGATTATATGCAAGTTTTTAATAGTTTGTTTACATACTTATTTGAATACAAAAATGTTTTTTTTTTTCTTTTTTTTAAGATGCGTTGATAAGGGCCAGCAGTTCAAATCAGCTATATAAAGCGCTGGAGGGGTGGACTAGCTCTTTCATTAAATTGCTTCTCCCTATATGAGCCTATTCCTGTCTGAGCTTCCTAGCTATTCTTTGTCTGTCTGCAATAGGGGTTGAATGGACCAGTATGCTGTAATAACCCCCTGCTCATCTCGAAAGATATACTGGGATCTTTAAGGTACACTGGGCCTATGGTTTATAGTATTCATCCAAGAAAACTTGTTCCAGAACCATAGATGAGCATGCTGTTTGAACCAGCGTATATATTATAGTTGTACATTGCAGCACCCCTGCCTTAACGTACATGAACTTCAAACTTGCTATGACTTACAGGGTAGCTTGTTTGGGAATACATTTAATGCCTTCCATTTTCATCTTGATCGATTTCTGTAGCTACTAACTAAAACCCCAATTTTTAGAAGCACTTTGAATGCACCTAGGATGCAATGTAGAAAGCAATACATTAGTGTTATTCGTTAACTATTTAATGTTCTTCCATTGTAAAAAATGTAATTGTTAAAAAAATAATTCTAAAAGCCGCGACTTGCCAAATAAAGGCTTAGAAGCTGATTCTGCATGGCTGTTTCAATCTTCCATATCTATATAATAAATACTATGGGTAGAATGCATGCAATAACATTTACTAGTGGCTTAAAGATGTATTGTCCCATGCTAAATACCAAAAAAATCATTAAAATATTTTTGGAAATTAACTTACCCATTTTGAAGTAACATAAAAGTTAGAAACATAACATAGAAATTAGTGTATTTAAAAAATGTCTACCCATCAGTTTACAGTGAAACTTGATAGATACACTTCTAGTCACTGGAACTGTCTTATTATTTTTATTATACTTTTCTGGCTTAAAAATCAGTGTACACATTTTCTAAATTCAATATTTTCTATGCACAAGTTAATAATTTGTATGTTACTGCAAATGAACCAGTTGATTTCAAAATTATTTTTTATGATTTTTTTTAATTAGCAAGGGAAAATACATCTTATGTACATTTGCAAAAAAAAGTAAGTATAGTTTAGATATATTTTTAAAAATAATTTAAATCTTGCAGGTTACTATCTGTCACATATTATCTGAAGTATCTGCTATACATGATACAGATCCCACCTTTAATGTATAGCATGTTAAGTTTGTGATTGGCATAACAGCTAAGCTGTGCCTAGTGCAGGAAGGTTGTTTAGCACTGTGGTTTCTATTCTAGTACTATTACCATATTAGTAGTACTATTACCATATAGTTATGAATTTGCAGGGGCAGATCCAATAGGGGGGCACGAGGGGCACATACTCCCACCCTGTTTTTCCACTAAATTTTAAGATTTTCAATGCAAATCAATGTTATGTGCCATGCTTAGATACCATAACTTGCATTGTTGAAGGGCTGTAAAAGTGGCTGATGCTAAGCCTCAGCCCTGAGATGCAAGGGCTTCATGGGCGTAAATACTTTAAATTCCTGGAAACAACTGATTGGCCCATTGGGATGAAAGTGTGCTCGGTTTCACTTGTACATGACTAATAATTAATTACCATATAGTTTTGACTAATAATTTCATATTTAATCTGGCTATTGTTCACTGTAGCATATTATATATTAAAAAACCCAACGTAAATTTGTACAAGTGCGGCGCAGCGGTTAAGGGATTAGAATTCTTATCATGAGGTTGTGGGTTTAAAACCAACGCTTGTCGCATTGCTTGTGCCCTGGGAAAGATATGATTTTGTTTGCTTTTCTTCAACCAGGAGGTATAACTGAGTACCTTTCGGTGAATGATTTTTAATCAAATTGGTTGTGCTGAATTACAAGCATAACAACCTAGTGGGCGGTGAAGTTTGCATGTTGCGCATGACTTACTCTATATCAAAAATTACTAGGGAAAAAATAAAACGTGAGCAGATCTTATGGATACTCATTAAATAAATAAAAAAAATGGTTGGCTTATAAAACGCACATTGTAGAGATCACTATGTGCTTAACATTATTATCACAGTCGTTGGATCAAACACATACTCAGCTCAATGGAGAACATTTTGTAATGTTGCAGCTGTAATCAGCGCGTTTTGTGTTTGAACCTACCAGGTACTTACTTTTACTCGTAGGTGGACAGAGATAACCATAGGTAAAGTAATTGCCTAAGGACACAAGCAAAATACACAGCGAGGGGTTGAAGCTCCGACCTCAAGAATGAAAAAAAAAACCGCAACCACTGTGCCAAACTACTCCTTTTAAGTCAAATTAAATAATTAATTACACAATATCAAATAATAGACAGTGTCTTCATTACATAGATTGCTGGAACAGTAGATATGAAGTTTAATAACTTATTGTTTAGTAATGTGAAAATATATAGAATATAATGATGTGGTATACTGTAAATGATCAAATAAGAGCGCCTCAAGTTCTTAAATAAGTGCCACAACAAATATAGATTTTATTTTCACAGTATCATTCATGAATGTGTGCCTTGGTGCTTTAATTAGAGATAACTTATATCGGTGGGTAGAGAAAGTGAAGGAATGGTGCTCTTTTCATTTGTCCAGAAATAAAACTAAAGTGCTGTTACTAAAATATTATTATGCAAGTGTCCTATTTTTACATTTTACTCCAAAAAAAATTGACAATTTGTTATTAACAAACGCTTGTTTTTGTTTTGTGTTGTGCTATTATGTATTTCAAATATTATTAAACTTGCTCATATTAAAAGTACAGTATTGTATAAAGTATATTACTTTTGGTGTCTGTAAAATAAAAAAAAAAACTATAGCTAGTAGGTCTCACTGTTATCGATAAACACTATACTACATTATTAGTTTAGAAACAAGCACCACTGAAGAATGAATTTTTGGAATAATGTTGAGAATTTCAGGAACAGATGTGGGGTGAAAGAAACTGAAGTTACCAGAAGCATGATAATCAACAGAATCAGAAGAAACATTAAGATAACCAGTATCATTAATGTCATCATTATTTAAGGCAAGTCAATCCAGATCAAGAAAACGATAATGAATTACGGTTACGTCATCAATTTCTACCGACAACCCTCCCCCTACAGTCGAATATTTGTTACAAAGTAGGCGATTCATGCCTTTGCATGAATCAAAGATCTTGTTCAGTAGGTACAGAAAATTTTCAAGAGTGTTTTAGGCACTAATGATGAAAATGATAATGAAGTATTCGTATTCATTATTGTTTTTCCTAAGGTTGCAAAATCTCCCAAATATCATCCATGCCAATACCCCTATACACAACAATCCTAGATGATCACAGTAATTAATAGTTAATCTTACTTTTACGACAAATTAAATATGTCTTGTCAATATTCAACAAATTATAAATATTGCAAGAGGATGGGTGCTGTTGAAATTGAGGAAATGAGTAAAGAAATGCTAGACAAACTTTTGATCGCCTAGTATAGGAGGCTAGGCCTGTAGGCTAGGAAGGAAGTACTTTTTTAGGCCTCATAGAATCTATGTATGAGGTATATAAAACAAATATTGACTGCTCTAGATTCAGGGAATGATGAAATTTATTGCCCCTCGGTGATGTGGAGACCGTAGCCTATCTATTGGGAAGATAGGCTACGATCTCCACATCACCTCGAGCAATAAATTCCCCTCATGGGCAGTCAATATTTGTATATTATTAGTCACGAGACAGAAAGCATAAATGATAATGAGAAAGCCAATAAGTAGAATATTAACATCCATTACCTGTATGTATTCCAAGTATTTTTATTTTGAAAACGATGTTAGATAAGACTAATTCACCGAAGCCATATTTTAAACATGGAGCCTGTTGGGCTTGTAAAATTCACTAGTTGCATAACTATTTCAAAATAATGGGGAACAGGCATGAAACTTTCACACCCACGTCGGTCCCAACATGGTTGGTTAAACCATGGTGGGGATGAAATGGTATTTAAGCATGTCATCTTTAGACGACAAAAACTTTATATGGGGTGTGGTCATATCTGTGTGGGCAAAAAATTTGACCGGGTATAGGATCGCATCATTGGCCACTCACAATGGTAAGTAACAGATTTGTTCAAAATAACATGAAGTCTGTATCAGGAGTTTCTACGTTAATTGTGGACACAGACTTCACCTGCTTTTGAATCTCTACCTGAAAGCAATGCCAGCCGATTCAAGCCAACTGCGAACGCACAGACTTCCTCGATCCTGGATCTCCTTGCGTCCAAGGTTTGTGATTACTTCTCCGGAAGGTTTTAGAATAATGAGCTTCGGAATAGCACTTACGTTAAACAATTCTCTCAGTTCACTGCAATGACAAAATAAACATATCATTTATCATTTACAAATACATAAAATAAGCGATAAAATATATGAATATCAAGATCTTTGGATTTACTTTCATATTCAGTCAAAGAAGAAAAAAAACCAATAAATTATTTCTAGAAATATGTCAAAGGAGGACAGAAGGCCTGTGATTCAAATAAAAATTCCAATCAAGGGAATACAAACATAAGATAAAACATAAATTACATAATATATGATTTCAAATTATTACTTTACTAGGAATTACAGTATTTGGGCAAGTGTATATTTTTTTTTGGTTGTTTGTAAAAACTTTGTCCGATATAAATAGTAATAATAATAATAATAATAATAATAATAATAATAATAATAAATATTTATTTTTCAATTTATATTCATAATTTAAAAGTGCTATTCTATTTTACAACCAGGATCCTAGTTATATCATTGAAAAATTTCAATGTGCCACAACTTACTATGAATATATTAATAGTAAGTTGTGGCAATTAATAATTACAAATTTCAGAAATACACCAGAATTTCATTCTAAAATTTCAGAGGACAGAGCACATGTAGCAGCATGTGATAATGCCACATTGTTTACACTTGAAAGCTGTAACTATAAGCTATGAATGATGCATCTACTGTAGGTTCTAGTAGTTTACAGTGATATTGACATATTAATAATAACTATTTTAAGCTCTAATCTATCCATAGTTCAAAGTTAAATCACTGTACTATTTACCTCAAATTTTAGATTTACCTCAAATTTTGATTTACAATCATTACCCATTTATGAACACTGGTCAGACCCAATCAATACCTAAAATGGAGATTTTGGCTGTACTCATTTTCTTACTTATTGAACGGATTTGCAAATGACAAGTGCAGCCAATCACCATGGTCCTCTGCTATATACTGGTCCATGTGTTCCACTTTCTTGTCGCTTGAGATAAAAACAATCTCAAATGGGTATTTCTTGTTTCTGATCTCCTCATAGGCGTCAGCTAGAATAGGTGTGAACTGTCGACACGGAGGGCACCAACCAGCTGAGAAGTAAACACCTACAATCTTGGCATCCAGAACGGTGTCTGGCTCAACCTCACCAGATGTTCTTAACAGTTCCTTTTCTTTAAAAAATGTTGCCATATCTATAAAGTAAAGAAATATAAAATCATAAAAGTATCTAATTTTAAGTTAATTCTAATCCAACAGTATACAGTATACCTAAATGAATACAAGATTTTGGTTTTTAAAAACCAAAATACAGTTAACCTCAGGGGTCACCTTTCGGACCTAAAATTCGTCAGGGAGGGAAAAAAAGTATTTTCTACATATTAATAGACTCCAAAATCAATTAAATAAGCCTTTGAAACCCCAAAATTGTCATACTTTTCAAAGTCCCTGGAACACTTTTGAGATTTTGAGTGATGCCCGACCACGCCCACTTACTTTGTTTCTTGTTGTTGTCGGGGACATCGTCGCAATCCCCCATCAAGGATCGCGGACCCTCAATCTGGCAAATCCTGGCGCCACCACTGTCATTAACCACAAAAGCTGTGTTAATGTTATGTTCGGTCAAATAAAATGTGAGCACCGCAGACTGGTGTACCGATGTGGCAGTTGGTGGACATGCAAACATCGATTTCAGGCATAATGTGGGCAAGAGGTACTACCAGTGATTGGTGCTGTTGCAGCAAATTTGCGACACCCAATCACAAAGTAAAATCGTGTGTGAAAGCTCACCAAAAGTAGTCGATATGTAATCGATATCGCAATTGTTACCCGTTGCGATTGGGTGCTACAATCTTTATTACTCTCGATTACCACGGAATCTGATCACAACGAATTCCACAGGCACTGTTTGGCTGAGGTCAGGCAACATAGGCCTAGACACCGGAGGCCTAGGCCCTAGAATATAAAGTTTGTGTTGGTCTGAATGCGTTCGTTGATTGCGATCGGGAGTTATCAGTTTTGGATTACCACCGATTACATCGCAACCGATCGCAAGAGAGTGTAATCTGAATCGGGTATTAGCCCACTTTTTACCGTATTTAAACGTAGGACACTGTTTAACATTAGTTTATTTTTCGCGTTTTTACTTTTATGACATAAATTGTTTAGCACCGTTTTTGGTCTTGCCATTTGACTTATTGCCGTTTTGGTCTATTGCTGTCTGGTCAAAAAGTGTTGCTGTTTCGGTTTTTTGCTGTTATGGTCATTGCCATTTTGACTTATTACCATTTTGGTTTTTTACCGTTTTGACCTGTTACCCATTTTTGACTGGCTGGCTTGATATTTTTACAGGTAAAATTGACGGCTAAAATGGCTTCTGGAGAAGGGAACAGGCTACCTACTACCTATATCCTCTGTACAAAAATAGAAATCATTTCGGAAAATAAGGGCCAATTTTCCCACATACTTTGCCGAAAATTAGGCTGTGAACTAGGCCTATTCTGAATATATAGAAAAAATGTTATTCCAGTTTCCCTCCAAATTTGATCTGATTTTTTAGGTATCATCTGTAGCTATAGAACTTGGCCTTGGGCCTTAGCCTATTGTTGTATCGGCATTATCTTATATACCAAGGCTACATACAGTGGCAGTGCCAGAAGGGAGACAGGGAGATTAAGTCCCCCACCGAACTGGTACAAGCCCTCCCGCCGGACAGAACTTGTTGGGCAGTCAGACCATCAAACATAAAAATAGGCCCACGACAAGCCAACACGTCTGTCACAGTCTGAAAGTACCATTTCCATCCATCCAGAGGTTGCTATTCTTAAAAAATCTCATTTGTACGGAGCCCCTAAAGGGACATGGTTAAAGAAAATATTAAACTATTTCGAGGGAACGAAATAATATTTTGAGGGAACGATATCATTTCGAGGGAACGAAATAACATTTTGTTCGAACGAAATATTATTTCGTTCCTTCGAAATATTATATCGTAGATTGTAGATGTAGAAAATACATAGGATTTTTATTTCTTCCCAACAATTTGTGCTTTTCTCCTTGATGTGGGGGATAGCTCTCCCCGACGGGAGCCGTATAGTACTAGGTGTGTATGTAGGCCTATATTTATGTATATATATATATATATATATATATTATATAGGCCCTATATAAAGGCGAAAGCCACTAATTTCTTCACACTCATAAGCCTATATACCGATGTTCTCTAATGATTCAGGAGATAAAATGTTTGTTTA